GCCAAGAAAAGCATCTTTACATATATTCATCAAAAAGATTTCCATTTGCTGCAGAATTTTCTGACCTGGCAACTAAGAAGCAGAGAAGCCCGGCGAGGCTGAGCTCTTGCCTGCTGCTGAAGGGGCAGAGCCAGCCTCAATGTCACTAGGATTCAGACTTCCCCCCTGCAAGCCAACTGCTGATACCAGCAAGGCTTTTAATTCCATCCAAGGGGGGAAATCGTGACAAGACACCCATAATTGCTCTCACTTGGAGCAAGACTGTGTTCAGAAAAATCCTTGAACTGACAGCTTCAAGCGAAGCAGGATGAAGCCAGGGAGAGACTACTGAACTCAGCACGGGGCAGAGCTTTCATTAACGCCCATCCTCTCCCCAGCACAGTCCACCAGCTGCTGGCAGCTCACAACTGGTTCCCATCCATCAGGGAGATACAACAGCCCTTCCAGAAATGATGCAGAGAGTGGTTTTGCAGAGACCCAGCCTCTTCAGAGCACAGAAAATGTATCACATCTCAAAAACCATTACTGGCTCACACACAGGCTCCAATATCAAACTGAAAGAAAGGGAGAAACATGTTTGTGAGGCATCCCCAGAACCAGTCAACACCCTTCAAAGCCATGACTTACCGAGTGACGACATTTTAAGGCCCTCTTTAGGAAAAGCTCCTGTACCTTCATTCACACCCTAACGAACCAAAAAATGGATCTTTGAGCAGAAGCCGGCAGAAAGTATTAAGGCCACATCTCCCCAAATCCCCAGTTACAGAATATCAGAAGGTCAAGATCTTACTAAGGACAAGCCTACTTTTGCTACTTTCTGTGTTGGTTTTTGGTCTCTTTCACAGTTTAATGTTTTCAAGTTGCCAACAGGATTTATTTCCTTTCCTTTATTTCTTCTTCTGCTGTTCTTGGCAGCACTGTGTCACCCCGGCCCATCCTCTTGGTTCCTCATCCTAAGACTTCTCACATCCTGCCTCCCTCCATCTTGACCTCTCATCCGTAAGTATTAAGCGCTTTGCCAGGTGCCCCTGAGATGGGACAGGGGGCAGGAACCCCTTTCTCAAGGAGGTCCGAGGGATGAGAGAAGGGGTGGGCCTTCCTCCTGCACAGGGCAGCTTGTGTGACCAGCCTGTGTGTGGAAAATTCACAATGCACCAGGGGCATGATTGGCAGACCTTGGGCTGGGGAGCAGCAGGCAGAGCGGACACAGAGGAGCAGCTGGCCAGGGCACACAGACCTGTCCAGCTGGCAAAGGGAACCTGCAGAGTGGAAGCTGAGGATAATGAGACCGCGCCTGTGTTTGGGAAGCGTCTCTTCTCACCCACTCATCCTCTCACTGGCCTGTGACATGCGCTCTGCTGAGTGCTCCATTTACCTGATACCTTCACTACACACACCTGTCCCAGGCTTTCGATTTACCCCCAAGTCTTTCATTTGGCCTTCGCAGCTTTACCGCTTTCCTTTCCTACCCAGGCATGGCTAGTCTCTCCAGAATCCAGCTTCCTGTCCCTCTTTCTTCCCTCCCAGCATGCCCTACAGAGCTGGGGCGAGTCACCCCTCCCTTGACTTGGAGCTGACCAACAGAATGGGGTGAATGGGCATTCTGGAACTTTCAAGCTCACTCCTTAAAGGGCTGACAGTCTATTCTCCCTTCCTGCGGGAGCACTCCCAGACATCAAGCTGGGGGCCACCTGCATCTGGAGAAAAGGACAGAGGAAGAAACCTAAGGTGACTCGTTTCTCAACCCTGGCTAAGCCCCCACGCGAGGCCAACATCCCTGCCAGCCAGCCCCTCCCTGCTGTCTACAGGGTCACATGGAACAGACAGCTGGCCACATGGGTCCAGTCAGCTCACAGCACCATGAGGAGGAACGGGATTGGTTGTTTTTTAAGTTCACTAAATTTGGGCTGGTTTGTAAGTGACATAGGTGCTGCAGTGGTTAACTGTGGTGTCCACTTGAAAGGAATGCAGCCTTCCAAGCTCAGACCCTTCGGTTTCCAGATTCTGGCTCACAAGGGGCTCTGCAGGGAGCGCCAGGCCCTTGGGTCTGGACTGGATCCTCTTGCTCCATAGTATGTGGATGGTTCTTTTACATTCTTCCACCCCTCACTCCGCAGGGCACCCCGTAAGCCTACCTTGTTGTTATAGCTGTGTCTAGCTGTCCCTCCAGAGCCTCATGCAGTCACAGGTGGGTTTTTCAGAGGTGGCTGGATCTAGAGTGTGCAATGCTGGGATTAAGGGTGTGTGATTGCTAAACTAGCACACTGATTGGTTTGGCAGTTGTGGGTGTGAGTGCTACCTACCCTAAGGGCAGAAGGTAGGTAGGCTAGATAGACTATAAAAGGGACAGAAAGAAGCTGCTATGCCTTACTGCTTGCTGTGCTACCTTCTGCCTGCCATGAACTGTTTCTCCTCTTTGTTGGTTGTCTGCCATGCCACTCTGCCTTGGAGCTGGCTGATTATGGACTGAAGCCTCTACAAACTGTGAGCTAAATAAATCTTTTCTGCTTTAACTTTGGGTGTCCAGTATTTTGTCTTAGCAACGAGAAAAGTAACTAAGACATGTGTTGACCCATATATTAAATCTGTTCCCTAGTGAACTCTACCTGACACAGACGTTGTGTCTGTTTGCACAGTTCGGATCACTATGCCTGGCTCATACAGTCTCCGTAACCTGCTTATTCCACATTGTGTTCATGTGGGTGTGCAAGCAGTGTGTTCAGCAATTACTTCAGGAGGGAATTCCTCTATCCCACTGCTCAGAAATACTGAGGCAGATACCGTAGGAGCCACTTCGGGGAGAAGAAGGGAAATGGCTTGGGAGCAGCCAGGGAAGTAGCACCTGCAGGAAGTCACGAGAGGACCACAGCACAGCTCTGGGGTGTCGGTCGGGCCCAGCATGTGGAGAGCCTGGTGTGTTTCCTGAGTGCCTAGAGTCATATGCTGGCTAGAGACTGCTATGTCTCTGCTCCTTGAAATTTGATTATGTAGAATGCTTAGTAACTCTTCAATAGCCAGAATGTTGGGGTCATCAAACATTTTATGTTTTGGAACTAACAGTCTTAATATATCACCATAAAATTTACCTCTTTGAGCCTCATTTTTGAGATTCTACATTACAAAATGTATCTTAGACTTCAGATGAAGAAAGCTGAACTGGGAAGTATGAAGCATATTGTTTCTTCTGAAATTATTAAATTAACATTCTAATCTAAGCAGAAAGCCTCACCCTGATGCCTGTAACAGTCAAATGCCATTATGAAATGATTATCTTTTGCCGAGGACTGCACTACACGTGCTCCATGTCTGCAGAGATTTCCTTCTCAACTCAGGAAGTTGACATTTCTCCCCTTCTGCAAATCAGAGACTCAAAGGTTATAGAGACAGTAAGTATTTCAGTATAGCGAAAACTTACACCCAGACTTATTCAACCATAGCCCTTTGTTCATACACACTCAACTGTAAGGTCTCTGTTAAGGTCTGAAATGTTTTTTCCCAAAAATTCCTATGTTGAAACACGGAGCCCAGTACTTCAGAATGTAACTATATTCGGGGAAAGGGCCTTCAGAGAGATACAGCAAAACAAGGTCCTTAGGGTGATCTCTAATCTAATCTGACCAGTGTCCTGAAAACAAGAAAAGATTAGGACACAGACACACACACAGTAAGGACCATGGGAAGAGACAGGAGAAGCCAATCACCTACAAACGGAGGACAGAGAGGATCAGCAGTAATCGACTCTGCCCGTACGTGGGCCTCAGACTTCTGGCCTCCAGAATGCTAAGAAACCAAATGCCCGTTGTTTAAGCATTTACTCTGTGGAATTTTGCAGCAAACTAACACAGCCCCTCCACATCCCCAGGACACAGATGACCGAAGCCCAGCAAAGAAGCCCATGTGTTTCACACACTAAACAAGGGACCACACTGTGAACCTGGATGGTTTTCAAAGCTCAGTTTTCTGAACTTTAAGACGCAGAGAGTGGCAGCAAACATGAAGTGGATCTTCTTCTAGAGATAAGCCCAGTTATTCAAGGGAAATGTGACCCCAACAACAAAGACAGAATTAAAAGTGGATAGGAGAAATGGAATTAACCAGGCTTCCGGAAGTAACCAGTATAGGAGAAAAAACCTGCTGGCTGAAGAAGGCCACTGAGTGACTATCAAGGGAAGTGGCAGGTGACAGTCACAGTGTATTCTGAGTCAGGGCACCTTCTCGCTCCAGATAGGATCCTCACTAAGAAGTAACTTCCTTTTATTTTATAGTAACCTGGCCATCACAGTTTAGAATAGAGAAGGGATGCTCTAGGTTCCAATACCTGACTACATAGTTTAACAAAGAATTTAACAGCTTTTAGAAATTTACCCACCCTAGATCCTTTCCCTTTGGGCATTTGGTCTGCAAATCCTCCTGCCTTCATTTACTGATGAATCCCGTATTTTCTGCCTTCAGGAAAAAGACTATTTGAACATGACTCGTTTGCTTTTCTTATGTCAGATATATGACTTGTGCAGCACATCTTCCCGAGCAGCTAGAGATGACTGTCCTCATGAACTCAGCCACATTCACGATGAGGAACAAGTCAAATGAGGACCCAAGTCTAAACCGCAGAATCCAGCTATGCATCCCATGGACTTGTACCTTCTACTGTTGATCATGACCGCTGCCATTCAACCAAGGCAGTGTCTTATGGAAGAATGCTTCATGCTCCAATATGCAGAGAAACAATGCTATGCATCCTTAACGAGAGACACCACGGATAGGATCATCTTGGGCAGCAGGTGGGAAAACCCGAGCTTGGATGCAAACACAGAATCTACCAGCAGAGGGAGACAGAGCTGCTTCTCAAAGGCCAAGCCACTTGGAAAGCCTCACTGGAAGTTGAGGTACCACATTAGAGGTAACCGTGTTTAGCATTTCTGTACAATATTCAAATGTGCTTGCCTGAACATATATGCGTGCATAGGATCATTTTCCTTTTGTCCAATCAATGTGCTTACCTGTTATAGAGAAGAATGTCTGGTTTCCAAATCTGGCCATCTGGGAAGCGAAGCGTCTTCACGCCTGGATAGTCTGACATATTCCACTGCAAATAGTGATCTGTCCAAGACTGACACACACAGACCATGGCATTAGCACCACTCTGCATCCTGACCGCCTTACAGTTCTTGTAAAAGGTTACTAGGTAAGATCAAAGCCAAAAAGAGTTCCAGACATTTATTTACATAACTCAGTTGTTATTTGTAAAATATAAGAAAATTGGGAATTAAATAATCTCTTTTGAAATGATCATGAACAGCATAGAAATCACATTTAAGGTCCTGCTGTCACCATGACCACATTCAGATGGTAGCATTAAAGCCAATTCCAATCCATCGCACACCACCAAGCCTTCTCCTCTGCGGCGGATGAGTTCCTTCTAGCCAAATGAATAATGGTTCTGCTTTCCAAGTTTTCATGATAAGGACATTGTAAAAAAATAAATTCACTTATTTCAACTGCAGTAAAAGCCAGGCTTTGGAAATGTAGACCATTTATTTCCATGAAATAGCACTTGCTGTGCAGCTTTGTGGAAATAGCTCAGAATCTTCTAAGGGCACATTTTAACATGTGAATCTGGTCTTGTTGCAGGGATGGCCCATCTGGCTCCACAACCTGACAACACCAGCATCAGGCCTCAGCAGCAGGACCCTGACTCGGGGGAGGACACACACATCTACACACACACAATCACAGGCTCGAGTCCAAGCCCCAGTTTAGGTTCTTGAGAGATACTTTGCCAGTGGGGAGCCCAAACCTGGAGTCCTCCCTCCTAGGACCAGGTGCTCACCAGCCGTTGCTGAGGCCAACTTCTGCCATAGCTGCTCAGATCGGATCCCATCTGCAGCTGCCACAAAACCAGCACTGCACTGTGGGAGTCTCGGGGTGGGGAGGTTTCCACCCAGCAGGTCCCACAGTGCACCATAATGAGACCCATTCCACATGGAGTCCCGCTGCTGACACCTGCCACGTTCTGGAGCCGAGACTTTGCAAGATTTAAAAAGGTATATGCTGCAACCCCTCATAATCAAACACATTGTTACTTCTGCATCGAAATTTGCATACATATTTACAGAGAGACAAATGTTTCAATTGCACATCAATTTCAATTTGATTTCAGACCAAATGAATTTGAGGCACTCTTAAAAAACAACAGCATGGTGGAGGCAGGGAACAAATTTCCAGAGCTGATGAGATTCAGGAATTGAGTGTGAGGCACTGTGGGTCTAGAGCTATTAATTCTGGAAAAGTTCCAAGGGCATGTTCCAGAGATCTGACCATACTCTGGCAAGGGTGGAGAGCACCCAGAAAGGGTACCTGAGAGCTTGGCATGGTAGCCCATGCCTGTAATCCCAGAACTCTGGGTGCCTGAGGTAGGAGGATGCCAAATTTAAACCCAGTCTGGGTAACTTAGCATCAGAGCAAGACCCCATCTCAAGATAAACATTTTGGGGGGCCGGGAATTTAGCTCAGTGGTTCCACAGTCTGTCTTGCAAGCTCAAGGACCTAAGTTCGATCCCCGGTACCAAAAAAAAAAGATAAACATTTTTTTTAAAAGGCTGGGGATATAGCTCACTGCAAAAAGCCCCAGTTCCTACCTCCCTCTAAAAAAAGGTTATCTGAGATCTGGAACTATCTGAAGTTAAACAAGAGGGACTATCCAGGTGGGTGAGGTCATTTTACAGCCAGGGGCCTCAGAGAATGAGGATATGTTAATGGAGATCACTCTGAAACGTCACCTATGTCACCTACAGCCTTTGACAGCAGCACTTTGGGGTCTCTAATTAGACGGGGTGGCTGGGGGTGGGGGTGGGAGAACACTGAGAAGCTTTGGTCTTTCAAATTGCTTTCTGGACCACCTGAGTGCCAGCCAGCAATGCTTGCTGTCCTCACTTATTCGCTTGCTCTAGGCACGAAACTCTTCCATACCAACTCCTGTGCAGCTTGTACACCATCTTGTATCCCACCCTGGGCTGCTTCTCTGGCTTGGCCACTGATGATCACACAAGCAGTCACAGTACCCGTCAGAGCCCAGGGTTCCATGAGCGGCCATGAAGGTGGGTGGCTCTAGTCAGAGGCAAGCTCCTGTCTCCTCCATGTGCTGAAATAATGACCAGAAGAGAGCTGGCAGGAAAGGGACGCCTGGCTGGTCAAACTCAGACCTCTCTGACGACACTGTCAGAGCCTCCTCCTGTCTGTGCACACCCAGCTGAGTGCACACCGCAGGCTGAGTCCTAGCCGGGCCACATCCCCAGTTCAGCATGGTGTGAACCCTGCTCACCACCACCCAAGGGTGTCAGGCAATACTGTTCTGGTTTACAAACAGATACTGAGGCTCAGAGCCAGATGTCTGGGGTCAACCCTGGGGTCCGGACTTGACAGCATTGCTTGACTGACCTCAGGAAAGCAACCTTTGGGCTGCCCTACAGCTGGTTCTCCCAAGGCAGTGTCTGCATTTGGTGTCTGCAGAACAGCTCGGCATGCTCTGTCCCTGATGGTGCTGCTCACATTGTCTGCCCTGTGAGCAAAGCCGTGCTGACCCATGGGGCAGGGGAGCAGCTGCAGGGAGCTTTGGAACCAGACCTGAGTGTGCACCAAGGCTCAGGGAAAGGCTTGCTGGGCGCATCGCCCTCCCTGGGCTGCAGTTTCCTTCTGTGTGTTCACGCTCACAGGATGGTGTTGCAAGGATGAAGTGAGATCATGTGTGCAGTACCAGGTGAAAATCATGTGCCCCTCGCAGGCAAGTAGTAATGAGATTCTTCCATGTACAAAATCCTACAATGCACAGGAGTTATACTAAATAATAACTGAGCTGCAGCCAAAGGCAGAGCAAAGACTTGGGAGTGGGACGTGAACCTGCGCTGCCTGCCCTGGGTTTCCTAAGAAGGGATGTGGAATAGCACTGGACAGTCTGTTTGAAGAAAAGGCTGTCTGTCTTCTTACACCATGTGTTTCCAGTCCCATCTGGGCCCCTTGGGGACAGAGGCACAGGGAAAACTTTGTGAACAGCACCTGACGTGGTCTCCTTATGCTGGTGCTGAAAAGCAACCTGGAGACGCGGACGCTCCGGTCTTCCCACGTAGAGCAGTCCGTGCTACCATTCTCTGCCTGTCTTTGGCTTCCTTCTCACCACATCTCCAACAGAAGAGGGTGTGGGGCTATAGGGGGATCCAGGGGGGCAAGAGCTGCCCATCTAAAATGCACAGCGAGTCCAGACCCTCTTGCCTCCCCACAGAAGCTCTAATTGTGTCTGAGCTTGCACCCCAGCATGGAAGTAGAGAGAGCCAGAGAGAGCCAGTTTCTTCTAAGAAAATACATTACAGCCGAAGAAATGTCTTTGGTGTTCCTAGCACAGAGTGCCTGAAAACAGCATCTTTTGTTAAAGAGGTCCTTTCCTTTCCAGCACACCAGTGTATGCTAATGAGGTGACCCAGGGCTGAGCTCCGGGCAGTCCAGACTGGGCATCAGGAAAACTAGCGTTGACAGCAGGGGTGGGGACCTTCAACTCATCTGCACCCCAGCTGGCAGGGGGCGTCGGAGGGGCCGGAGATCAGGCTTTAAAGGCTTTCCAACAGCAAGGTTGGGAGCTTCCTGGCTGTGAGGGAGGGCCACACCTCCCTCCCTTCATCCCGTCCTATGTCTCTTCCATCTGGCAGTTCCGGTTTTCTCCTTTGGGCCCAAGTGTCTGCCTAAGGACCATGTGGGCCCCTAGAAGATTAAGAGACCTGAGAGGGGAGTTGTAAGAACCTCTGGAATTAGCCGTGCAGAAGCATGGGAGGGGGGGCCTGGACAACCCATTTACAGCAGGTGTCTGAAGTGGGGGATCTTATGGGGGTCAGCCTTGGAGCTCGGGGTGCAGATGCTAACTTACGGTCAACAGTGTCAGAACTGAGTTAGAGAACTGGTTGTTGGGTGTTGGCAAATACCAGCCAAACATGTATTTCCAAAATTCTCCAATTAGCCATTTTGATCTCAGAGAAGGAACAAGAGCCTCCTTCTGTCCCTTATCCCTGGAACTTTTCTCGTAGATGAACACAATGACTAAGACTCCCCCCTGCCCCCGCTCAACCTCGGGATGTGATCATTGCAATGAGGCTGGCTAATCTATGAGCATAAAGTGAAGCATTTCTATGTGTCAGAGGAAACAAATACAGAAACTGAAAAGGTAAACATTTTAGAAATAATGATGGTCTACAATCTACCTTTTGATGAAGTGAATGCTATCAGTACCATAATTAGAATTAGGAACTTAAAGGCAGAGAACAAAGGAAAATCTAAAGGCAGAACAGTGGTCAAGATTCCAAAATAAAAAAGACATATTTTCCAACAGCGAATGTATGTCTCTGAAGGGCTCAAATGTCTCTTCAGAAACTGAAACACTTTCTGTCATTTTTCTCATACATTATTAAATCAGATTATGTCTGACAGGAAAAGAATAAAACATCTGCAGAGAAAATACACCAACTGCTTCCTCCTAGGAGTAGGAAGAGGTAAATAGAGAGATCAGCAACTCTATTCCTGCAGGTTATTGGAATAATCTGGAACTCACACAAAATTAAGGGCAACTGGGAGAAAGGATAACAAAATCAACAAACGGTAGGTCAAAGAATTTAATTTCATTTTTTCTTTAACTTTTCTGCCTCTTCCATTTTGATTAGATATAAAATATATACCATTTGCAGCAGATCAACCTGTATTTAAATACCCTGGGGAAAAGACGATGTGGGTTCTGATTTTTCAAAACAGGAATTCAGCAACGTGGAAGACTGAGAGTCACTCATGGTGGAGAACCATTTCCTGGACCCTCCTCGGACCCCTGCACACACCCTGCTTCCGGGAACTCTGGCTGATGCCTTCGGTACTGAGCTTCATGGCTTGCAGGTGGCCAATTCTCAGACTGGGTCAGGCCAGGCTGGGGACCCGTCAGGGAGCAAAGAACGGGAATCAATGGGTGGTTGTTTAGAAATGATCCCAAGGAAGTTACACAGTCCCCAGGTGCCACACAGTGCCCCTGCATCCCTGCCAACCAGGTCAGAGCAACAGGGCCTCCTGACTGAAACCTGGGCTGGGCCAGGGAGCAGGCAGGTGCAGGTATTAGGTCCTAACTATTAAGCTTTGTTTTAAACCAAAGATTCTTGGGATGCCTTAAAAAATCCATTGGGAGGCAGTGTCAGCTCCTGCATCACTTTCCAGGTCAAACTTATCACCCAGCTTCATAAGGCAGCGAGCTGGCTCGCCTTTTGTATGGAGACATCTGAGAATAAGCACTGATTAATGACGAGACACACAGCAGTGCCAGCGCTCCCAGACCCGATCATTTAAGAGAGTCTGGGGCTTTGCTTGCCTCTGATTTCTGCAAAGCATATTATTCCCGTGTCCTCTCAGCAGCCTGTCCCCTGCAATGTCTCCAGGGAACCACTTGGTCTTGCTCCGTTAATTTTTTTTCATATTTTTTTTTCTGACTTAAAACAATTTCAGTGGTGCATAATTATACAGATGTATGGGGTAGGTGTGACAATTCAATACATACATACAATATGTAGTGATCAAATTAAGGTAATGTGCATTTCCATCTCCTCAAACATTTGTCATCTCTTAGCAGTTAACCTTTCTTTAAATGTGTTAATCATACAGCCTGACTGTAAATGGCTGAACAGAGGGAGATGGGTCTCTCCACTTCCGGAGCCCTCTCCTGGCCTGTTCCACACCTTCCATACAGCAGGCGCTTGCAAGGCGAGCTCAGTAGGTAAAGGAGAATTTTTTTAACGAAGCTGCAGACGCTTCTGCAAATGTCAGTCACGGTTAGAAATAAAGTTTACTTCAAGGAAATTTAGAGGTCTGTGGCGACAGTGTCCACAGCAAAGATGTTTATTTATGCAGCAACTGCACTCAGTACAGTAAGTAATAACTCAGTCATGCTTTTCCTGGGAGCCGACACCCTCCACCCCTCTATGCCTGTGCACTGCTCAAGATCAGTGGCTCATTGATGCCGAAGGCAGGCAGCAGGGACAGACAGTGGACTGCAGCACACTTTGTCTTTGCAAGAAAAATGTCAATAGCAGCTGTGTTCCTTGGGGCCTGGATGATCTTCTCCTGAAGTGTTCCAAGGTTATGGAGAGTTAGCTTCATTTTGGGTCATATCTGAGGCCCTCTAGGATTCACAGAGCATCACTGAGCCAAAGTTACTCATTGCCTGCAGCAGATGAGGTAGTGGGCTAGGGTGGAGGAATGGCAATGGACTAATCCAACCGGAGCCCTGCCCTTGGGCTGGACCTGTGTTAGGAGGGTGCAGGGACGTGCAGGCAGGAACAAGCATCCAGGTGAGTGTGAGGAGTCCGACGGTGACAAGGACGTAGTGGACAAATGAAGCAAAGCAAAAAAACAGTGAGAACTGGAGATGTAGCTCAGGGATACAATGTTTGCCTAGCATGCTCAGGATTCAATCCCCAGCTTGGGCGGGGGGGGGGGAGACAGAGAGACAGAGAGAGAATGAATGGAGGATGGGGGTCTGCCTGGAGGGAACAGGGAGTGGTTTGGGGCAGTACACAGGAGCGCAAGGAAAAAGTAACTGAAAAGATGCTGTTCTGAAGTGACCAATAAGAAGTAAATGAGAAAATTAAGTGGTTCCTGGAAAAGAGCTTCCCAGGCAGGAGGAGCAGCAAGTGCAAAGGCCCTGAGGTAGGAATGTGCTCGGGTGATGTGTGCATTGGTAACATCAAGAGGACAGAGAGCACAGCAAGGAAGAAGAGGGCAGAGAGGATGGGAGAGAAAAGAGGATCCAGGCAAGGGAAGTGAAGGTGACTTCAAAGACTTCAGTTCTTATGCTGCCCAGGCAGACAGGAGGCCCTAGAGGAACTGAGGATCACACTGGCTGCTGTGTTGCAACAGACTCCAGCAGGGGAGACCAGGTCTGAGCGAGCGAGAGGCCCGGCGGGAGACTCCACAGGGTTAGACACGACGGCAGTGTCCGCCTGGCCAGAAGCAATGGGTTCATGTGCAGTGCTACCCCGGGTCTGTCTGATGACTGCATTCCCAGAATTTGCTGGTGGATCGTAATGTAAAGACGAGTTAAAAGTGACGCTGAGGTCTCCGGGTGAGCGAATGGATAAACTCAACTGCCCATTACGTTACCGGGTGGGGTGACAAAGACAGGAAGAGGCCAGAATGAGCGCGACACGCAGACGCTGTGACAACACCAGAGGCAGGGGAGAGGGGGAGAGGCGAGAGACTGGGCAAGCGCTGGCCTTCAGCACCCAGGCCTGGGGAGGGAAGAGGCAGAGGCGGCTTCAGGGGTGGGTGAGGCACAGTGCTTTTCTAACCCTGCTGGGGAAGCTCCCAGAGCCCTGCTTACAGTGGGTCCTGAAGGGGCCTCCTGTACTGCTAGGTGACACGGGGCAGATCCCCTGGGCACAAGGCAGGTGGATCTGCTGGGCTCCGCCTCTCAACTCCTCCAGGAATAGCCACCCTCCCGAGGCCTGGGGCCATCCTATGCCCTCACTCTTCCTTCCCTTTGCAAAGAAGGGCGCGTTTACCTTAGGACACTGACCAGAGCCAAACAGAAGGTCCAGCCCCCTTCATGTGGGGTTACACTAAACACAGGGTGACAAATACTTTCAAAGATCAGATGGGTTTTTAATTCTTTTAATTTCTGCTTTCAAAAAAATGAAGCTGAAACTAGTAGAGTTGTCAGCTGATGTATTTGATGAAAACACTGTTGTTGGCATACAATCTGGAAGAAGTTCAAAAACTGAGTAAAATTACTTTAACAAATTCTTTTCATTACCAACATTACCAACATTCCTGCATCTATTAATAAAAGAATTATAGAACGAAGGTGACAGCGGTATTGTTCTAGAAGTAAGAAATGGTCACCTGTAGACACATAAATTAATTCAAAACAAAGCCCCATCTTCGACCCAGGCATGAATTTCCAATTTAAAAACTTTAATAATTATGCATTAAAATTGGAAATCTGTGTCACCTTACTGAGTTATGTACCAATAACAATAGCAATCTTACATCAATCCAGAAGAACAATTTGTATAGTCTCAAGGAAAAATTTTTGTAAACATTCACATTTGAGAAAATCAAGGTGGAGTGATTCACAAAAGACTTTTAAATATAAAATTATTTTGCATTAGGATAAAATCCTACATAAAAAGTAAAACAGAAATGCAGGTGCAAAGGAACTATGTAAACTAGCTGACAGTTAAAGCAGGATGTTTATATGGCTTTTATTTTTTTATATGGCTTTTAAATGAATGATATAGGCATAGAATCATTGTGGTATTTAGATTCTACCTAAAAGAGATTGACAGTGTTATATTTAAACTCCAACGTTTACAATTTGATAGAAGTGACATCACCTTCAATTAATTAAATTTAGGTTACAGTCATAGATGTCAAGTTAAAAATGCAGGAATAGAATACAGGTTGAGTACCCTTATCAAAAATGCCTGGAACCAGAAGTGTTTCAGATTTTGTAGGTTTTCCAGAATTTGGAAGAAATGCATAGAGTCTTCTGGTTGTGCATCCCTAGTCCAAAAATCTGAAAATCCAAAAATCTGAAATGCTCCAAAACCTGCAGCTTTCTGAATTTCATGCCAGCAATCAAAAAGTTCAGAGCATTTCAGACCATAGATTTTTGGATTAGGGGTGCTCAACCTAGGAAGCCTTTCAAGATTCTGGCAGGTGTCACTGAGCATGAAGCATGTAGACTTTTGGCTGAGGAGCCCTCGATGGGATTCAGACACGCAGCAGCCAGACCCAGAGCTGCTGAGTGCCGGGAGCAGCCACTGTGTAGAGTGCAGACATCTGAATGTGATTCTGCAACTTCTTATTTGTCATGCATGAAGTGGCTTTGAAACGTCCCCCAAATAACTCAGAACTACAATACAAGCATGCATAGAGTCCTGCTGTCATTCAGTATTGAATGCTCAATTGCAACCTACAGGACTTTGTAAATTAGCAATTGAGTCCATGGTGTGAATCCTCCAGCATTCACTGTGGGCAGGTAGGGGGCAGGGACGACAGCCTGGCTTCTGCCACAGGAACTCTGCTTTCCCTCCAGATCAAGCACATGCACCTCAGAAGCAAGAGCAGACAGACACACAGGCAAGGACCACCACTGCCTTAACTCACCATTTGCAGCCAAATGTTGGTGGTTAAAACTTGGTTCTTCTCATCCTTTAATAAAAAAGAAGAAGCAGCATAAATATGGCTCATGTGCTTTACAAAAGAAGGAAGGACACAATTATTCCTGCAGGGATCTGCCTGCCGGGAGCTCTGTTATGTGTGGAAATTAGAATGCATCAAGCATCTGCAAACGTAAGCCAGCAGCATTTCCCCAGAGCTAAGCTTTTCTATTTATTCCGAAGTAATACACATTTATTATAGAACACTTACAAAGGGCGGCAAGGTATAAAGAAGAAAATTGAAATCAGGCAGTCCTACCATCCAGAAATGAAGCTTGCTAAGGCCTTAGCTATTTATTTTTTATTTTATAATTTATATACTTTAAAAATTTGGTGCAATTTCCAGTTTTTTGAGGTCAGGTTTACTACTAGAATTTATACACTTTAAATAAACATAAATATTATGCTCTTCCCTCTACGAGGGAAGGAGGCCAGGCCCACATCGCCCGCCTCCCTGCACACGGAGGGTGCCCCTGAGGAGCGTGTCCCCCCTGTGTACCCCAGGCTGTGGGCTCTTCTCTCTCATCCTCTCTCCGCCAGGCAACATGCCCGACCCTCGCCACCCATCTGTAGGGTGAACCTTATCCAGATGAATTAGGGCAAGAAAGTGAGGCGACTTTACACTTGGATCTTGCTGACTCCAGAACTCACTGTTCCACATTTCCAAAACCTCCGAGTGTGGAATCACACCGGGAGTCAAGTCTGTGCCTCACCCAGGGAGCGGGAGACAGTATTGGCCACAGCTCTGTCCACACGCAGGGCATCTGCCACGGCTTGGACCTTCAGTGTCCCTCAAAGACCCCCATGTCAGATATCTGGTGCCCAGCGTGGCACTACTGGGAGGAGGTGGGACCCTCAAAAAGTAGAGCCTAGTGGGGGTCTTCACATCACCGGGGTGACCTGACGGGCACTTTATCACAGCTGGCCAAGCCCAGAAGGTCACCAGAAAGCAACATGCAAGGAGACAACTGAGCAGAGTTTGTCAGCAGTGCTGTTATTAAATCACTGAACCCTCAATTCCAACCCAGACTCCATAAATGTGTAACTGACACCTTCTCCAGGGAAAGTATTTTTTACTGACCTCGGGAAAACTGTCCAGAAGCTGAGGCCTTGAGTTCCTAAAACAGGAAGTGCTTGGCCCGGTTCACTAATGGGCAGTCACCAGAAACAGATCCAGTGGCCGGAAGCACATAGCATCCGCCAGGGTGTGGCTGGCGGCAGGGATGCAAACTGAGAACTGAATGCTGCCCTGCCCCTCTTTAAAACAGAGATGTGGTGAGCGAGCTGGAAGGCCTTGGCAGAGACGCTTTGTTGCATCCATGCCAGTGCCCGGCTGCTCACCCGCTGGGTATTTCTGAGAATGAGATGGGTGGGGTTGGAAAAGTCTTGTAGAAAGGAAGCACTGCCCAGGGAAGAACACGGGATGATTTCCCGGGAGGCCCCAGGCCAGAAGAAGCTGTCAGTTGCCTACAAGAAGAAATACATCTCCCTTTCCAAAACAGAACACGTCAAGATTTTTTTAGTGATTAAAAAACTGGAGAGCTAACATTTCTTTGTGCACCGCACTGAGCGAAGGATCCCCAGCAGGGCTGCACATTGAACTCGCACGTGTGCTCCGGTTTCAGTTTCGTCTCCAATATTATTGGGCACTGCTTTTGGACTCTTCGGGACATCTATCTGTTGCCTCAACTTATTAGGGAGCTGTTGTTTTCAATGGACTTAGAATTAGTGAGGGTTCCATTTAGGTGTCTTTTCTTCTTTTAACTGCGTTTGTCTCTTCCTCTCCTGAGAGCAAGGCTTCTGTGGTTTGGGAACTCAATTACTACCAATCTAATTAAAAGGCTTTCTTCTTTGCAGCATTCCCACGGAAACCTCATTAGAGTGACACTGGATTCCTGTGCCGTGCGGCAGCATGGACCAAGGTACAGCGTTTCAAGCTGTAAGCAAGGACAAGCAGCAGCCAGCTACCGGAGGAAGCGCTGGGACGCCCCAGAGGCAGCCCTCAGGAGCCTGAAGGGAGCCCACGGAACCAGGCAGGAGTCTCCCTGCTCCCCACCACAGCTGGGGGCCACACACGGCCTGGTGACCAGGTCTCCCAACCCCACCCCCACTCACACAGGCCTATGCACATGCAGATGCACACACTGTGTCACACCTGTCTTCTGTCCCCTTCCACACGTGGCTTTCTGACCACAGATATGATCAGCTCACTCTCCTCCAAGTGCACACACAAAGGACAGAGTTAAAAGTCCCTACTACAGTGCACACGCAAGCTGCTTCTGCAAGTCATGGCCTATCAAAGTTTTCATTCATTCCTTCATTCAACGAATGTTTAGGGGGCACTTCCTGTCCCATGCGTTACGCTGGCCTGATATGTATGCTGGGAAGGGAACATTGTTCCTACACTCCTGGAACACAAAACAGAGGGGGAGAGGGGTGGGTTACACTGTACAGTAAGAATGGACGCGTACTGAAAAATGCCAACAGCCTTGTGGAGGGAAGAACAGGGCCATTCAGAGAGGCTGATGGGTGGGATTCTACCCAAAGTGCCAAGAGAGCAGGTCTTCCCTCCGCACACTGGAAGCCTTTGCTTTTATCAGCTATGACTGTCTAACAGCACAATCTGTGGGCCCCTAAGATCCACCTGGTGCACCCAGCCCTGCGCACCAAGGCTCCATCAGGTGGTGCTGACTCCACACTTCCCTCACTGTGACCACAGGTAAAGGGCCATGTTTAGAGGACTCGGTCTCCTTTAAGTGGGGCTCCTGGACAACCTGCACCATGCAAAGGTATCTCCTGAGAACCTGGCAGGAAGGAGCCTGCAGAGACCTCCCCTGGGGCAGGACACGCCCTGTTTCCAGGTGAACTCCCCTCTGCTCCCTGCCCATGGCAGCTCCAAAAACAGGCCTGAAGAGCCTCTCCGCCTGCCTCTTCCCGGCTCACTGCTGTCCTCCCTGCACCCCTCTGACGCCCAGCCCTAGCCTGTTAGGCCCGAGCTCACTCCCCGGCTTCCTAGTCATCTTCAGCACAGTGGACACAGGCAGGATGTCAGCCCCGCACACCCTTCTGGGCCGGAGGTGTGCACATCTCCACACCGGAAGGGGAGGGAAGGGAAGGCAGCAGCGCCTCTGAGTGTGGGAGGTCTGCAGATGGGCCCACAGTCTGTGCACTGTACATCTCTCTGGCCTCTGGCAGCGGGACATTTAGGACAAGGCAGTGTCCACAGGGCTCCAATCCCAATGCCCAGACCTATCTGAGTATTAAACCCAGTTCCTATTTGCAAGAGAAGCTTCCTTCTCAGACACCAAAGTACCATCCACTGACCCCAAAGCCATCAGCCTCCGGTGCAGAGTACTGGAAACCATGAACCGGTGGGGAAGGGGCATTCACCAGTCACTTCCATCACAAGCTGGACGTCACACTGGTTAGCCTCCAGGGTTCCTGCAGGGAGGAGGATGGAATTTCTAAACCCTGACTCAAAATAACTGGTGGAGCCCCTGAGAAGCAGCATTTCATGGGTACCCCGGGGGCACTGATTAGCAAGCACCACAGGCTCTGTGTCCTCATCTGTGTCAGCTGTTACAAGAAAACGCTACAGGCTCGGAGGCGTATAAACTGATCCAGGTGCCAGTGTAGCTGAATTCTTGTGTCGCGGTAGAAAGGGTGATGCAGCCCTCTGGAGTCTCTTTTCAAAGGACTGCAGACCCTTTCACAAGGGTGACAGCCTCCTGATCTGATCACTCTCCCTCCACTCCCACCAATGACCCCACCTCCTTGGGGATAAGATTTCACCCTCAGTTTTGGGGGACACGAACATTAATGCACAGCACTCTGAAAAATGGGCTTCAGTAATTACAGATCCTCCAGCCACCACCTGGCTATCACTGTCCTGTCCCTACCAGGCACAATGGCAAGGAGAGGCAGAGTCCCTGTGGGCAGAAGAGCCCCTGGGTTCTGAGCTCAGCTCACCAGTCGGCAGACTTTTATGCCTCTGGGTCTCAATGTTCTGTCCTGGGAAACAAAAGCGGTGCCTGCTCTCGCTGTCGGGTGGAGAGGCAGGGCCAGCCAGTCTACGAAATGTCACTCAGAGCCTGTGGCTAGGCCCATGTGACAACTGCCTGCCCACAGAGCTCTCCTGCAGGAGTTGGACTCCTGCTGCCTCTGAGACTCAGGAGCAAACAGGATCAAAGCCCAGTGCGGTGCATGGAAGAGCACCCCGAAGTCACTGGCCTGACTCCCCCCATGCTTTTCAATCTGAACACACCGGTGAAGAGCACAATGTGACTTATGGAAACAGTTTTCCAAGTCAATCTTTCTGAATAATCTGATTTCAAGTACAGCTGTTCTGATGATGTGTAATGTGCTATCTTGCATTCCTATGGCAATTCTTCTTTTGGAAGTTACGGGAGCCATTATTCAAGATTATTTTACAGAGTTCTCATCATTTCTTTTTTTCTTTTGCATAGATACTGACAAAAATAAACACATAACAATAGATCTAACCATGTCTAAGTCCTTGTTTTCAGAGAACACTGCTGGATGATATAAATTCACATTTGTGCACCCCTCCATAGTTTATAGGAAGGATGACATTTTTTATCTAATTTAACCTTTACACCAAGCATTTTTTATCCAGTTTTACAGAATAATAAACTGAGGGTCTGTGATTTTCTCTGAGTCAGCAACATACCAGGTCCGACAAAGGAGTCATATCCAGAATAAGAAATAAACTCCTATAAATCAATCAGAAAAAAAGCAGTCAGTCCAAAAGAAAAATGGGCAAAAGGTGAACAAGCACTTTGTCACCAAAGATATCATAAGTAACATCTGAATATAACTACCATTAAACAGAGTTGGCATTCTTGTAAGTGTCACAAACATGCACACACACACACATGCATACTTTGTACCCAGTTAGATACACAACCACTCAGCAAAGTTAGTACTATTATTTTTTTCATTTAATAACAGGAATATGGATGAACTCCCAAT